TCGCTCGCTGAAAAACTTCATGTGTCACTAGAGGTTCCATTTTTTAGAAGTAGTTTAATGTAACTCGTTACGATCTTTAAAAAATCGAAAAGGAAAACAGTGGTTCTATTTTTAGAAGTCGAGTAACACAGGTCAGAATGCTGTCCAAAATAATCTAAAAAAAAAATGTCCAATATAATTCGTTTTGCCCTCTGAAAGGATCAAGAGATTTAATTCCATTTAGGTTTTAGAAGAAACATAAATTCTTTTTCTTCAATGAAATAATCTCAAAAGAAGAATCTGCGGAAGAATTTATAGTTCATTTGTAGAAATAGACGCAATAAAGCTCGTCTCGCTCGTTGAAAAACTTCATGGGTCACTGGAGGTTCCATTTTTTAGAAGTAGTTTAATGTAACTCGTTCCGATCCTTAAAAACTCGAAAAAGAAAACAGTGGTTCTATTTTTAGAAGTAGGGTAAGACAGATCAGAATGCTACCGAAAATGATATGAGAAAAAAACATTTCGTTGAGTCCTCTGAAAGAACCTTGAAGATTAATTCTATTTAGATTTTAGAAGTAACATAAGTTATTTTTCTTCACTGAAATAATCTGGAAGGTAGATTGTGTCTCGTTTTTAGAAGCGAAAGAAGAATTTATAGGTAATTTATAGAAATAGAAGCAATAAAGCTCACTTTGCTCGCTAATGAACTTGATGGATGACTAGAGGTTCTATTTTTTAGAAGTAGTTTAAATTAGCTCGTTTCAATCCTTAAAGAATTGTAAAGAGAAACGGTGGTTCTATTTTTAGAAGTAGAGTAAGACGGGTCCGATTGGTGTCGACAATAATCTCAGAAAAAAATATAAATGAAATATATTTCGTTTTGCCCTATGAAAGAATCTCGAGAGTGAATTCTATATAGGTTATAGAAGTAACATAAATTCTTTTTGTTTAAAGAAATAATCTCAACGTCTGATTGTGCCTCGTTTTTAGAAGCAAAAGAAGAATCTGCGGAAGAAGTTATGGTTCATCTGTAGAAATAGAAGCAATAAAACTCGCTTCGCTCGCTGATAAACCTCATGTGTGACGACAGGTTCAATTTTTTAGAAGTAGTTTTATGCAACCCGTTTCGATCTTTAAAGAATTGTCAAGGAAAACAGTGGTTCTATTTTTAGAAGTAGCGTAAGACAGGTCAGAATGCTACCGAAAATGATATGAGAAAAAAATATAAATGCAATACATTTCGTTGAGTCCTCTGAAAGAACCTTGAAGATTAATTCTATTTATGTTTTAGAAGAAACATAACTTATTTTTCTTTACTGAAAGAATCTGGAAGGTAGATTCAGTCTCGTTTCTAGAAGCAATAGAAGAATTTATAGGTCAATTGTAGAAATAGAAACAATAAAAAACTCACTTCGCTCACTGATAAACCTCATGGGTGACTAAAGGTTCTATTTTTAGAAGTAGAGTAAGACAGGTCAGAACGCTGGCAAAAAAATATCAGAAAAACTATATATTTTGAATTTATTTCGTTGTGCCATCTGAAAAAAAAACACTGAAAAATAATTCTATTTAGATTTTGGAAGAAACATAACGAGGTTTTAGAAGAAACATAACTAATTTTTCTGTATTGAAATAATCAGAAAAGTAGATTCTGTCTCGTTTTTAGAAGCAAAAGAATAATTTATACGTCATTTGTAGAAATAGAAGCAATAAAGCTCACTTCGCTCGCTAACAGATCTCGTGGGTGACTAGAGATCCTATTTTTTAGAAGTAGTTTAATGTAACTCGTTTCGATCCTTAAAAATTGTCAAGGAATACAGCGGTTCAATTTTTAGAAGTCGAATAAGACTGGCCTTCTGAAAGAACCTTGAAGAATAATTCTATTTAGCTAGGTTTCGGAGGTTTTAGAAGAAACGTAACTTATTTTTCTGTATTGAAACAATCAGGAAAGTAGATTCTCTCTCGTTTTTAGAAGCAAAAGAAGAATTTATACGTCATTTGTAGAAATACAAGCAATAAAGTTCGCTTCGCTGGCCGAAAATCCTCATGGGTGAATAGAGGTTCTATTTTTTAGAAGAAGGTCAATGTAAGTCGTTTCGATCCTTAAAGAATTGTCAAGAAAAATAGTGGTTCTATTTTTAGAAGTACAGTAAGATAAGTCAAAATGCTGTCAAAAATAGTATCAGAAAAAAAAATGTAAATGCAATGTATTACATTGTGCCCTCTGAAAGAACCTTGAAGAATAATTCTATTTAGGTTTTAGAAGAAATATCAGCAGATTTTGGAAGAAACAAAACGAGGTTTTAGAAGAAACAGAACTTATTTTTCTGGATTGAAACAATCTGGAAAGTAGATTCTGTCTAGTTTTTAAAAGCATAAGAAGAATTTATACGTCATTAGTAGAAATAGAAGCAATAAAGTTCGCTTCGCTTGGCGAAAATCCTCATGGGTGAATAGAGGTTCTATTTTTTAGAAGAAGGTCAATGTAAGTCGTTTCGATCCTTAAAGAATTGTCAAGAAAAATAGTGGTTCTATTTTTAGAAGTACAGTAAGATAAGTCAAAATGCTGTCAAAAATAGTATCAGAAAAAAAAATGTAAATGCAATGTATTACATTGTGCCCTCTGAAAGAACCTTGAAGAATAATTCTATTTAGGTTTTAGAAGAAATATCAGTAGATTTTGAAAGAAACATAACGAAGTTTTAGAAGAAACAGAACTTATTTTTCTGGATTGAAATAATCTGGAAACTAGATTCTGTCTAGTTGTTAAAAGCATAAGAAGAATTTATACGTCATTAGTAGAAATAGAAGCAATAAAGTTCGCTTCGCTGGCCGAAACTCCTCATGGGTGAATAGAGGTTCTATTTTTTAGAAGGTCAATGTAAGTCGTTTCGATCCTTAAATAATTGTCAAGAAAAATAGTGGTTCTATTTTTAGAAGTAGAGCAAGATAAGTCAAAATGGTGTCAAAAATAGTATCAGAAAAAAAATGTAAATGCAATTTATTACGTTGTGCCCTCTGAAAGAACCTTGATGAATAATTCTATTTAGGTTTTAGAAGAAATATCAGTAGATTTTGGAAGAAACAAAAGGAGGTTTTAGAAGAAACAGAACTTATTTTTCTGGATTGAAATAATCTGGAAAGTAGATTCTGTCTAGTTGTTAAAAGCATAAGAAGAATTTATACGTCATTAGTAGAAATAGAAGCAATAAAGTTCGCTTCGCTGGCCGAAAATCCTCATGGGTGAATAGAGGTTCTATTTTTTAGAAGAAGGTCAATGTAAGTCGTTTCGATCCTTAAAGAATTGTCAAGAAAAATAGTGGTTCATTTTTAGAAGTTGAGTAAGATAAGTCAAAATGCTGTCAAAAACAGTATCAGAAAAAAAATGTACCTTAAATGCAATTTATTACGTTGTGCCCTCTGAAAGAACCTTGAAGAATAATTCTATTTAGGTTTTAGAAGAATATCAGTAGATTTTGGAAGAAACATAACGAGGTTTTAGAAGAAACAGAACTTATTTTTCTGAATTGAAATAATCTGGAAAGTAGATTCTGTCTAGTTGTTAAAAGCATAAGAAGAATTTATACGTCATTAGTAGAAATAGAAGCAATAAAGCTCACTTCGCTCGCTGACAAACATCACGTAACCAGAGGATTAATTTTTTAGAAGTAGTTTAATGTAACTCGTTTCGATCCTTAAAGAACATCAAGAAATACAGTGGTTCAATTTTTAGAAGTCGAATAAGATCGGTCAAAATGCTATCGACAAAAGAATATAAATTCTATTAAGGTTTTAAACGAAACATAACCTATTTTCCTTCACTGAAATAATAATCTAGAAGATAGATTCAGTCCCGTTTTTAGAAGGAATAGAAGAATTTATAGGTCATTTGTAGAAATAAAAACAATAAATCTCACTTCGTTCGCTGATAGACCTCATGGGTGACCAGAAGTTATATTTTTTAGAAGTATAGTAAGACAGGTCAGAAAGAATTTGTAGAAATATAAGCAATAAAACTCACTGACAAATCGCAAATATGACTAGGGATTCTACGTTTTCGAAGAAAATAGTAGTTGTATTTTTAGAAGTAGGTCAGAGTGCTGTCTGAAATAATCTCAGAAAGAAACATAAAAGCAATGCAGTTCGTTTCGCCCTCTGAAAAAATCTCAAAGATTAATTCTATTTGGGTTTTAGAAGTAACTAACTTTTTTAATCGTTGAATTATTATGCAAATTAATTATATAACACGTTTTTAGAAGCAAAAGACGAATATTTAGAAGAATGTATAGGTGATTTGTTGAATTAAAAGTAATACAGTTCGCTTTGCTTGTTAACAAATCTACTACAGTTTTAATTTATTAGAAATAATTTACTTTTTAGTAGAACAGAGTTTTGACTGAAAACATACTTCGCTTTGCCCTCTAACTGATTATGTCTTGGTTTTAGAAGCAAAAAGAGAATTTATAGAAATAAAAGTAATAAACCTCAGGGGCAATTAGAACTTTTATTTTTAGAAGTAGTCTAATGCCACTTGTTTCGCTACTTAAAAAGGGAAAGCAGGGCTTCTATTTTTGGAAGCAGGGTAATATAGGTCAAAGCGCTCTCAGAAAAAAATCTCAGAACAAAACCTATTAATTTTTTTTTTAAGGAAAGCGTAAACGAGGACTGCGTTAAGGCTGTGGCGGTGGCATAATATAGTTTCGTTTCTTTCGCTGAAATAATTTGTTACCTAATTGTTTCCCACTTATAGGAGACGAAACTGGAGTAAATTTATTTCGTAGTTTTTATCCGTCTTTTATACTTCGCTCGTTAAATACTCTCAACACCGAATCGTACACAATTTCAAGTTCTTTAAAGAAAACCTAATTACAGTGGTTTTTATTTATTTCGCTACTCTGCCTGAAAAAAAATCTAGACCAAAATATAATTTTATAAATAAATTTTCAATTTTTAAACTACGTAATCTATCCACGAATAACAAACAATTACGTAAAGTACGTCATCCTCTAAAATCTACTCACCTCATGGGTTTGAAAAGCGCCTGCAGACTGTTGGGATAGTCTATCACCAATTTCAGCTGAGTGCCTCCCGTTTTTTGCGCTGCAACAAGAAAAAAGCGTCCATTAAACCGAAAAGTTCATTTGGTAAAAATGGTGGATGCGCCGGGCTTGGCCGTATTCAAATAATTATTGTTTCATTAACTTTTTGTGAAACTAGCGGAACAAAAACGCGTTTAGGTAGAAGAGCCCGGAAATATCCTTCCCGCATGCGGCCGAACTTTTAAAAATATTTTAAACGGAAAATCGCTGGTGCAATTACATTTTCAATTACAACGGAGTGAGTTTGATTAAGAGAACTCGAGCGGGATGTTGTTGGGAGGAAAAATGCGCCTAATTTTCTGATGCTTTATTTAGATGAGCCACTAATGCATCAAGTTTATCTTCTTCGGAAGTCTTTTCATGGTGCAGCTGTTCGGAACACGTGTGTCATTTCGCTGATAGCTTTGTGTTTGCATGAAAGCTCGAGATAACGAAGGTGTTTAGGTGCAGGCATTAAAAGTTCGAAACGGACCTTTCCGTATAATACAAGCGCTTTATTAGGAAGCACTCGCGTTTAAAGCTCGAAATTTCTATGTTAAGAAATATGCAACGTGTGTACTACTGTGTGTGTAAGTACGTTCGCTCTTTAAACACGATTTTTATGTGGATTTTTACGGTTTAACTTTATTTACCACGTTAGACACTCGTTTATTTAAAATTTTCCTCTTTTTCTAACAAATTTGGAAGTTGTCTCATGTGGTTTGTTTCTAGATAATGGAAAGAAATTTTTAGGAGCTTCGCCAGATGGGTAAACAAATTCTGATACAATTCGTCGCCTGAGAACTTGTTTGATCTACAGACTAGAGCGCGCTCAGGCCAATGTCGACTTTAAGAATTACTTCTTTAATTGTGAACAATCGAAAGAAAGAATCGTAAAACCGCAAAATTGAATAATCTAAAAATTGAAGAATTGAAAAATAGAAATATTGAAGAACTGAAACACCGGTAAATCGAGAAATCGAAAAATCTAGAATTGAAAACATGAAAAAATTAAAATAAACTGAAAAATCGAAACATCGAAAAAATGGAGAATCGAAAAATCGAAAAGTCGAAAAGTTAAAAAAATCTAAAAACCAAGAAATCGAAAAAGTCAAAAACTAAGGCATCGAAAAATTGAAAAATAAGAGGATCGGGAAATTGAGGAGTCGGAAAGTTAGGAAATCTAAAAATTGAAAAATTGAGAAACCGGAATTGGCCAAAATCAAAACATCGAAATGTCAAAAATTAAAAAAATTGAAATATAAAAGAACTGACAACTGGAGAAATCGCAAGATCCAGAATTTTAAAAATTAAACAATTAAAATATTGAAAAATTGAAATATATTTTAAAAATGGAAAAACCAAGATGGCAAAAAATCGAAACAAAAGAATCGTGAAATTGCAAAATCGAAAAATCCAAAAATTTTAAATTTCAAACATTGAAAAATTAAAGTATCGAAAAATTGAAAAATCGGGAAATCGGAACACCAAAAAAAATTGTATTTTCAGATACTTAAAATTTTGAAATCGAAAAACTGAAAAATTGAAAAACCGAAAAATCAAACGATCGAGAAATAGAGTAGTTAAAAAGTTGAAAAAAAGTTATAAAAAATTCGGAAAATTGAAAATTTGACAAATCAAAATATAACACAGTCGAAAAATTGGAAAATCTAAAGTTTAAAAAGCGAAAAATTGAAAATTCAAAATGTGCAAAATCGTGGAATCAAAAAAGCACAAGTGAAAAAATTGAAAAGTCCAAGAAACGAAGTCCTGAAATATTTCAAAATTGAAATATTGAAAAATTAAAACATAAGAAAAATTGAACAATCGAATAATTGAAAAATCCCAAAACTGGAAGAAATATCCAAACATTGAGAACTAAAAAATTGAAATATAGAAGAACTGAGAAGTCGAGAAAATAAAAAATCTAGATTTTTATAAATTGAAAAATTAAAGTATGGAAAAGTTGAAAATTTGAGAAATCGAAAAATTAAACAGTCGAAAAACTAAAAATTTAAATTTAACAAACGAAAAACTGAAAACTAAATAGTAAAAAATCCGGAAGTCGAAGAACCGAAATACTGAAAAATCCCAAAGGAAAATACCGAAAAATTGAAACACAGAAGGAAAACTGAAGAATCGGAAAATTCAAAAATACCACAATTGAAAGAAATGCAAAAATTGAGAAATTCAAAAAGTCAAAAAATTAGAAATCGAAAAAGCAAAAAAGCAATTTCGAAAAATCGAAAACAGAAATCGGAAAATTGAAGAACTGAAAATTTAGAAACGTTAAAATTGTGAAAAATTGAATTGTCTAAATGTTTAAAAATCGAAAAATTGAATATTCAAAATTTGCAAAATCGTGGAATCAAAAAAATACAAGTGAAAAAATTGAAAAGTCGAAGAAACGAAGTCCTGAAATATCTCAAAATTGAAATATTGAAAAATTAAAACATATAAGAAAAATTGAACAATCGAATAATTGAAAAATCCCAAAACTGGAAGAAATATCCAAAAATTAAGAAATTAAAAAATTGAAATATAGAAGAACTGAAAAGTCGAGAAAATAAAAAATCTAGATTTTTAAAAATTGAAAAATTAAAGTATGGAAAAGTTGAAAAATTGAGAAATCGAAAAATTAAACAGTCGAAAAACTGAAAAATTTAAATTTAACAAACGAAAAACTGAAAACTAAATAGTAAAAAATCCAGAAATCGAAGAACGGAAATACTGAAAAATCCCAAAGGAAAATACCAAAAAATTGAAACACAGAAGAAAAATTGAAGAATTGGAAAATTCAAAAATCCCACAATTGAAAGAAATGCAAAAATTGAGAAATTAAAAAAGTCAATAATTTAGAAATCGAAAAAGCAAAAAAGCAATTTCGAAAAATCGAAAACATAGAAATCGGGAAATTGAAGAACTGAAAATTTAGAAACGTTAAAATTGTGAAAAATTGAAAAATCTAAATATTTAAAAATCGAAAACTTGAATATTCAAAATTTGCAAAATCGTGGAATCAAAAAAATACAAGTGAAAAAATTGAAAAGTCGAAGAAACGAAGTCCTGAAATATCTCAAAATTGAAATATTGAAAAATTAAAACATAAGAAAAATTGAACAATCGAATAATTGAAAAATCCCAAAACTGGAAGAAATATCCAAAAATTGAGAAATTAAAAAATTTAAATATAGAAGAACTGAAAAGTCGAGAATATAAAAAATCTAGATTTTTAAAAATTGAAAAATTAAAGCATGGAAAAGTTGAAAAATTGAGAAAACGAAATATTAAACAGTCGAAAAACTGAAAAATTTAAATTTAACAAACGAAAAACTGAGAACTAAATTGTAAAAAAATCCAGAAGTCGAAGAACCGAAATACTGAAAAATCCCAAAGGAAAATATCGAAAAATTGAAACACAGAAGAAAAATTGAAGAATCGGAAAATTCAAAAATCCCACAATTCAAAGAAATGCAAAAATTGAGAAATTAAAAAAGTCAAAAATTTAGAAATCGAAAAAGTAAAAAAGCAATTTCGAAAAATCGAATACTTAGAAATCGGAAAATTGAAGAACTGAAAATTTAGAAACGTTAAAATTGTGAAAAATTGAAAAATCTAAATATTTAAAAATCGAAAAATTGAATATTCAAAATGTGCAAAATCGTGGAATCAAAAAAATACAAGTGAAAAAATTGAAAAGTCGAAGAAACGAAGTTCTGAAATATCTCAAAATTGAAATATTGAAAAATAAAAAAATATGAGAAAGATTGAACAATCGAATAATTGAAAAATCCCAAAACTGTAAGAAATATCCAAAAATTGAGGAATTAAAAAATTGAAAAATCGAAATATTTAAAAAAGAAAAATTGGAAAATTTAAGATTTAAAAATCCGGAAAGTTGAAAAATTGAAATAACAAGAACTGAAACGTCGAGAAATTAAAATATCAAGATTTTTGAAAATTGAAACATTAAAGTATCGAAAAGTTGACAAATAGAGAAATCGAAATATTAAACAGTCGAAAAATTGAAAAATCCAAACTTTAAAAAACGAAAAATTGAAAATTCAAAATATGGAAAATCGTAGAATCAAAAAAGCACAAGTGAAAAAATTGAAAAGTCGAAGAAAGGAAGTCCTGAAATATCTCAAAATTGAAATTTTGAAAAATTAAAAAATATAAGAAAAATTGAACAATCGAATAATTGAAAAATCCCAAAACTGGAAGAAATATCCAAAAATTGAGAAATTAAAAAATTGAAAAATCGAAATATTTAAAAAAGAAAAACTGGAAAATCTAAAACTTAAAAATCCGGAAAATGGAAAAATTGAAATACAGAAGAACCTAAAAGTCGAGAAAATAAAAAATGTAGATTTTTAAAAATTGAACAATTAAAGTATTGAAAAGTTGAAAAATACCAAAAAATTGAAACACAGAAGAAAAACTGAAGAATTGGAAAATTAAAAAATACCACAATTGAAAGAAATGCAAAAATTGAGAAATTCAAAAAGTCAAAAATTTTGAAATCAAAAAAGCAAAAAAGCAATTTCGAAAAATCGAAAACTTAGAAATCGGAAAATTGAAGAACTGAAAATTTAGAAACGTTAAAATTGTGACAAATTGAAAAATTTAATTATTTAAAAATCGAATAATTGAAAATTCAAAATGTGTAAAATCGTGGAATCAAAAAAGCACAACTGAAACAATTGAAAAGTCGAAGAAACGAAGTCCTGAAATATCTCAAAATTGAAATATTGAAAAATTAAAAAATATGAGAAAGATTGAACAATCGAATAATTGAAAAATCCCAAAACTGAAAAGTCGAGAAAATAAAAAATCTAGATATTTAAAAATTGAACAATTAAAATATGGAAAAGTTGAAAAATTGAGAAATCGAAATATTAAACAGTCGAAAAACTGAAAAATTTAAATTTAACAAACGAAAAACTGAAAACTAAATAGTAAAAAATCCAGAAGTCGAAGAACCGAAATGCTGAAAAATCCCAAAGGAAAATACCGAAAAAT